GCAGGTTGTTTGTTGTTAACCCCCCCCGTTACACCACTAAATTTGTTCGATAATAATATTCCTTGTTATTTTGTAAAGCCGACGGTGCTAGCTCAAACATGCCCTGATCTCCAAGAAAATTTACAGGGGTGTTTCCTAGATAAATACACAACACTAAAACTTTGAACAGCATTGTAGGACCATTTTTTTTTTTTTTTTGGAGGGCAACGGTCACACCCTAACCCCCACTCTTGGACGTGGTCCATTTTGGAGTGGCGCGCCCCCTGAACTGGGGTCCGCACTTGCTGGGGAGGATACTTCCTAAGCTATCTGGGTGATGGGTATCATGTGATGACCCGGAGAAGGTGGTGAATGTGTTTTGTTTGGGCCTTTGAGATTGTACTAACTCTGTTTGTAGCGTGGAGCAGTCATTAAAAGTTTCTATTGGTGGGTCTGACTATGGGTGTAGAAGGCCGCTCCCGATCTATGATGTTTTGGTCCACAGAGCCGTCTGTGAAGTATGATGCTGCCTCGGCCGGTGTCTCAGTGGCTATGGGTTCCTGAGTTATTCTTTTGAGGTCCTCCTTCTGGAGGTTGGCTTTGCTATAACTTAGTTCTGCGCTGCCCTTACTTTGTAGTCGATTCATACCTTTGGTGGCGTTCTGCAACATCGCTGCGCCGTCTCAATTTTGACTCATTCCCTTCCATGTCCATGTGGTGTTCTCGCTGTATATTTGTAATTGGTTTTCCTTCTCCTGGGTTCCTGTTGGTGTCAATGCTTCCGGAAAGTGGGTATGACGGGTGGAAACACGTTCCCTCTCCCCCTGATGGGATGTTCCCAATTCTGAAGCGCTGAGTGTTGGGAACCCTCCTTGGGTGGATGTCGAGGTGTAGCAGCAAGACACTCCTGATTCCGGCGGTTGACAACGTGTGTCTCGTGCATACCTCGCTGTGGTTGTCATCCCTTCACTCGTTTCCAGAAAGAGTTTTCCTCATGGTAATGACAGCATCTCACCAAAGTCCTCCGTATCGCCTAGAGTCTGAAGTTGTTCCATATGATCTTTCATATTCTACATCGTTGCCGTCAATTGGGTGAGCGTCTGCTGATAACCTCCGATAACCCTATTTAACCGGCCTGTTGTTTCATCCTTCTCTCGGGTGAAAGAGTTTCTCTACTTCGCCCTGGCTGTATGAGTGACCGGTTAGCATCTTCGTCGTTCAGGGCCTCCAGGTCTTCTACCTGGCTAGGATCGTCTCCTCTGCCTTGTTTCCTTCTATGACTTGGAGAAGCGATGTCATGCAACTGAAGTTATACAAGCTATGTCATACAATCTGAAGTCATGTAAGCGATGTCATACAACTGAAGTTGTATAAGCGATGTCATACAACTGAAATAATATAAGCGATGTCATACAATCATGACCACAGTGGTGTCACACGAGCGACGTCCCTCAAACGCGTGACGTGCACTACACACAAGTGATGTCACACTAACACAACCACAGTGATGTCATACACGAGCGACGATGTCACACTAAGACACACACAGTGATGTCACACACGAGCGACATCCTTGCTTCAATACTGAAATAGATACATTCCATTGAATGTATTCTATTTCATATTCTCAACCTGTAATAGGGCCATCACTACTCACACAACGTTACTTGTCTGTACACTTTGAACACCGTCTTTCCCGCGTGTTCGTACGAATATTACTGACCCAGAGTCCACTATGTCAAGAATGAACGATAACACTCCCGCACGCCCGTACGAAAAATTTTGCAGAGACCAGTCCTTTCTGAAATGGCCGACACTGGACCACGTTTCTACACGTATTCAACCTACACCACTGGGTTTAACTATTGTTATACAGTACATATATACATATATACACACATACACATATATACACACATACACATATATACATACATATACATATAACTTGAATGTTGTACACACACTTAACCCACAAACTCCATACTCCATCTGTGATGGAATTACTACATCACGTCAGGCCCCTCATAACACCTCCTGTGAGGGAACTACTACTCCACGTGATGCCCCTCATAACGCCATCTGTGAGGGAGTTACTACACTAAGTGTCTGCTGTTCAAAACCTCAGCGCACATGATCAACGTGACCTCCACTGTAAACATTAATCTGTATGTTCACTGTATGTTCCTTTACCTTTCTCTAGTGAAGGCTTTTGTTAAACCACTAATGTCAATGTATGTAATAAGTCATTTATGTCCAATGTATATTTTCAGCCTTCGGGCTCAAGAACTTTTTCAGAACTTTTAAACCGTTAATTATTATTATTATAATTATTAACTCCTTTTTGCTGGGTTTAACTATTATATATATAAGGATCACACTTTAGTCGATGATTCACAAATTAACAAAAAGACGTCTCCGCTCTCCTGCTGCGTAGTTGTGGGGGTGAGTCGGTCTCCCTGAGGTGTCTGACTGTCGAGTCACTTGGTAGTTTAGACTGTTCCTGAGTCTAGGACCCACGTTTTTTACTTTAACCGCCCAATGAGCGACTGTGGGTTAATGAGACCCTTACACGTAGGACTCGATTGTTCTTTATTCGGTCAAAACCTGCAAAGTAGAAATTACATATGTTACATATGAGATAATTAATTCAATCGTATGTTCCATCACTATTAGCGACAGCATATAGTATATTTGAGTAGAGTAGCGTGTTAACCATATAAAACTTACGTGTTTCGGGTCTAATATAGGACTTATTTAATTCCCCGACTTGATCGGTCACTGGACGGATAGAGACTGTCTTCTGAACCCCACAGGGAGTGAGTCAGCCTGAGAGGAGAGCCATCTGTTTCACATTTAACACCCCAGCAGAGTTTGTCAACACCCTTTCTCTCTCTCTTCTAGTTTATCCTATTATGGCGGTAACATATCCTACTGTGGCGGTAACAATTACTATTGAACTTAACCAAGTTTGTACCTCCCCATTCAGAGATGCTGCACAGATCTGCATTGATAGAAGTAATGATATCAGCTCTAGAAACAGATCTAGTTTGAGTTATGAAGAAGAGTGAAGAGTATATATTACTATAGCAATTGACATGCTTTGTGGGAAGCATAGTATCATGAAGAGAAACAGGGAAAACACAAACTTCTCAACTATGTTGGGTTTATTTGCTAATGTTTCGGAAAACCGTTTCCATCATCAGTCTAGAAAACAGACAAAAAGTTTTAAAAATTGCAGGTAATATACCCAGAAAATCTTCTAAACTTTACCTTCAGCAAAACTTTCAAAGTAACATATTACAATTTACAACTAAAAATTATGGAAGACCTAAGTATAAAACCAAAATACAGGGGTAAAAATAAACTAAAACATGCAAGAGGTATTACCTGAATTGAGATGAGCTTTAGTGAGAAAAAAACAATTCATAGGAATCCCAAAGCCACATCACTGTACAGTATATAAAAAACTCAGCTGGACAGAGCTTTAAGGACAGGAAAAGAGGACATGTCTAGGAAAAGAACGGATGTACGATAATCCTATGCATATATGTATAGGCATTTTTTCAATGTATAGTGCAGGAGTTGAAGATTAATCCAAACCTAGACACAACCTATCCTCACGAAACCCAAGATTCATGATGGGTTCAAGGGTTTCCAGGTCTATCTTGAGTACTTGGTACTGTACAGCACATTTATACTGTTCTTTGAAAGACCACATATTCAGACTACAAAGTGCTCTGCCATTGGCTGGCTGATGGTAGGCTCAATCATGAGCGGATAAATTTATTTAGAACATGTGGTGGGCCAAAGTCCTGTCTCCCCAGTAGCTGTCAACTGTAAGGCTCATGGGGACAGTTGATTGGTATGGCTAATACTAATGGTTTTACCCAATTTTATCTGAGGTCACCATTATTCTAACTGTACTGACCAGTCCTAAGAAACCTTTCCAGTTATATAGCTGTGTGCCAAGAATCTTTGACAAACTTTGCAGCACATTGTTCATTAAGTACCCCAAAACAGGAGGCATACTTAACATTTCAACTTCAAAAAATTAAGAAATCAGGTGCTGGAGTTGTATTGCTACAGTCCAAGGAACATGGGGTGCTACCATACATAAGGGTGTTTTCAAGATAAAACTAAAGTAGTTTGTAATGTTGGTTTCATATAGGCACTTTGCTTGGAGAAAAATAATTTGTCAAAGTTGATATTATACCTGCATCGTTATATTTGAGAGGCCACATTGGTCAGCTTGAATTTTTTTTTTTATTCATTCCCACTTACAAAATCATCATGATTTAGAACCTCCAGTGGATTTCATTTATGTTTAAATGCCCTTTATTAGCTTGCAAAGTGTTAGGAACATTACTAACTGTTTCTGCTAAAGTGATGTTACTGCCGTTATATTATGAGCTTGGTGTACACAATACCAGTACAGTATTATATTTAAAAAGTTTTGAGTTTGTAATCTTTATTCTTTCTATTTTTATTTTGTTGTGGATGACATTTTAATTAATGGAAACTTGGATGAAATTGAACATCATTCTTCTTACACCCTGAACCGTTCATTATGGTCACACTCAGAAATCGGTAACATTGTGTTTACTATCACATTGAGTTTACATTTGTCTTCATTTTCACATCTACGTGTATATTGTACTTGATGGAATTTCCCTTTCAAAACTCAACTCTTGACCCTTTGAGTACTGGGCAACTTTTCTTATCCCTATTACCTCATTCCTATCCTATATCCTTGCATCACAGCACTCCTGCCTACACCTCTGGCTTGACCCCATCACACATTTTCCAGTCTTGTTTCATTCAAGTTTGTTTCTTTGATCTTGACCTTAGTCACTTTTGTTGTCCTTTTTATAACAAATACTCAATGTAAAAAAGGATACAGGTTATAAGCAAATTAAAATGTTTAAAGTGCAAACCTAAATAGTTGATGTTTCTATCATCTTAGAATGTCTTACACCAATCCATGCTGTATGAGTGAAAGGATTAATGACAGTAGAATACACAGTCATCTCATTTATTTAGAATGTCAGTCTATGAGGGTACATTTTATTCCTGAGGCCAAATGGAGTGCCCAGATAACCAAAGAGCATTTTCTTATCCTCCCTCTTCTTGATGACAGACATAATCATACCATCAACAACAGCCTGATCCCTCTTGCGCTGCTGGGATGGAACATATTTCTGAAAAGTAAAAGTAATCAAATTAAAAAAAAACCTACTTACTGTATAAAAAGATATAATGTTACTCTTAGATTATCTTGGTTCAGCAATCAATGGAACAGGGATTTCTCTTTTACTGTGGTTAACTATGTTCACTTTCCCCATAAAAGTAGTGTAAAATAAAAATTATCAGTAGACCAGATCGCCATGATGATAGGAAGGAAGAAGAAAAGGGAAGTGAAATAAGAAGGGTGAGAAATGTGTGGCGACCATACAGGATAAAATTCAACATTTTACAATACAAATTTTAGGTTAATCAAAATTTTAATTCTATCATAATGGCTATCATTACATACACCAAATTAGTAGGACTTTCACCTAATAGTGTATAAGCCTTAAAGCATTTATATTTTAAAAGAGGGTGGGAATCAAAGGGTTGCCTTATTTTCTGTAATACCGAATACAGAAATGTACTACACAAGTGGGACAATAGACAAAGTGAAATGAATACAAATGAATAGGAGATAAAGGGTGGACTCAAGAAACTGGCGAGTGTAAGCATCCCATACTTGGCCCCTCGATATAAAATTTTTTGTGCACTTGCATTCAAAATACTCTAAATTCCAGAATGCATTTCACACTTCTTCGCTTGTCATTCGAGAATGTCTGTCGCAGTTTTCAGGTAAGAGAACCACAAAATGGACACCAAAATTACAGTCAACTTAAGACTACTGTATATTCATACCTCCTGCTTCTGCTCAAAGATGTCTCCTTCTTCCTTCTTTGCACGCTTTGCCTTAACCCGGCGGAAGTACTGATCGGTAAGGTGCTTGGGGATGCCAAATCCGCTAATATCAATCTTTGTAGCAGTGGCAATTAGATAAATTTGATTAACACGTCTCAAGGGACAAGCGTTGATCTTGAAGGGACCTGGAAAAAAAATAATAATAAATGAAAGTTTAAGCTAAAATGTTGCATGTGTATGTACAGTAATTGATTCAAGACACTGTCCTTACCAAACACAAGATATGATTAGATTGTTAACATTTCCCCCCCAACAAATGAAATGTGAGAAGCATGTCCAGTACCAAGTTCATGCAGGAATACCAAGAATCTTATTTAGAGTACTTAATGTTATGTCAAAATGCCCCAACTCTGTTGAAAATATTTATTCCATCTTGAGGGATAATCCTGCAAGTGACCAGTTATATTATTCACTGAAATTCAAGTTGTTTTCAAGATAACCATGTGTTTCTATCTCCAGCATACTAATGGTCAAGAGTGACATGAAACCACAGGCCATCAGACCTGTGCTCCTTTCTTTATAAAATGGAGTCTGACATAAAATTTGACGAGTCCTAAATGGTGTGGACTCACGATTAGGAGAATGGGAAGGGAGACTTGCATACAACCAATAAACAATGAAAAGGCAAATACATTTCACTAACAACTTTCTGGCTTGCTCAATGACTTCATCACCATTTTACAGCTAATTTCTGCACTTCCATGGAAACCTACCCACTTCTCATCTTGAAAGTGGGTTAAATTAACCTTGGATTGACCTATGTAGTTTTTCAGTCTAAAATCTTTTGCTGGAACAACTATCCAATAAACTTGCATAAATCTTGTCTTACCCTTCTCAGCACACCGAGTCTGACTGAAGAAAATGTATCTTTATTTGGAATACAGGAGTGTGTGCCAAGCAATACCTTGAAGGTATAAATTTTCATAAATGCAGTTAAACCATCTCACAGTAACCCAAAGTTAAGGATAACTATATCAAGTAAATGACAGATGGATGCACATAATTTTTACAGGAAAGGTCCAGTCTAAACTAGCAATTTAATTGGGATAGGCTTTAACCCTTTGGCTGTTTGAGGTTACCCTAAGTAAAAAGGTTAAAAATAAATCTAAAGGAAGACTTAAGAATACAAAATTAATAAAGATAAATTATAAATATATCAATAATAAATATAACTAACCAGTAACTAGACACAGGCCACCAGCAAGTTGTTTCAGGAAAACTACTTTCTTGCCCTTGTGGATGCCTGCCAGAAGGATGCAAACTGTTCCAGGAGTAATGGAAGAACGTAGAGGCCTGAATCTGCTCCTGAAATAGAAATTAAATCTTCAGACTAATTGTATTTGGGTAAGATTGTCAAATCTTTTAAATTGTTTATGAGTAATGTGGAGGTATGAATGAAGTAGCTTATAATCAAACACAGCAATTGAAGCAGTACATTGACAGATAATTTGGTTTAGCGATTTAAAATTTCTAATGCCCATGGTTATTTAATGATCTGCAATTGTTCAGTTTAGCAATCTTCATCGCTGGGAAAAATTCAGGAAAGTCAGTAAACATGAGAATTCTATTTGTTCCAAGTGGGCAGCCTGGGGCAGTGTGGATGTATATGGGCAGGTGTAGGTGTGATGAGAACATGATGGGCAGTAGCGCAAGGTAAGGGTGGGCGGGTGGTAGAGGAGAATTCGACATAGCAGCAAGGCACAGGTGAGGAGGAAGCCCTGTCTGTCTCTACCACCATCACGCCTTACTTGATAGCATATGTCAAGTGCCGACTCCTAAAAATTGCCTGTGACTAATATCTACATAGTGATATCTCTGTTAGCAGGAACAATTGGTGAGGAGCACTTCAGGGAAAGGAAGATTTCGGATACGAGATGACACTCTCAAAGCTGGAAAAATAAATAAATCCTATCCCAGGAATTTTAAGGGTAACAAAATTTTCTTGTAATTTCCAGAAAATGCACCACATTTTCATCTCTCAAAACCAGAAAAAAAAATCCATCCCAGAATTTTCTGGTACTGGGAAAATTTTCTCAGAACTTCCAGAAATGTGCCCCCAGAAAATTGTTCCCAAGACGGAATTTTTTGGAAAAATAGAGCGATAGGGACGATTTTCGAGAAAACTTCAATTTCAGCTATCGGAAAGTTCTGGTTAACAGGGATTCCGGCTAACAGAGATATTACTGTTGAGTACAATAAATATTAAAATATGTGTAGAATTATGTAAATGTAAGTTTATTTTATGCAAGTGATGTCTGAAACTCACATTGGCGTGTTTGTTGTAGAGCAGAGTCCTCTGCTAATGCATTCTATTTAGAATTGCCACATTATTTTAATTCCATTTTACAATTCACCTACCTATCAGTATCATATAATCATGAGTAATATTAAATTAAGGCAAAAATAACAAAATTCAGTAGTATAAAATGTAAGTCAAGTGTGATACTGTATGTCTCCTGACCCACTCGGAGATTGTTGGCTGACATTGTATTTTTCAAGGCCGACACTAAACCACTTGGAAAGGATCCGTTACATAAGATACTACCTGAATTTTAGAAATCATTATCTAGCTTTTCCAACAGAAAAATAAAAATAAGTTTTGAGTATCCAGAGTTGGTACATATCTAGGTTTATTAGAACAAATTAAGCATGCTACTGGTCGCGATGAACCCAGGCCATTATTACACTAGTGTTCACTTTGCCTTTAAAGTGCTATCTGTACTTTACTACTCTGCATAATATTGATCGCTGTGCATTGTTGTTATTATTGTGACTGGTGTGTTACTGAGTTACTGTACAGACTGCTCATTGCCCTGTACTACTGTGACTCAAGTGATTTTTCTTCCCTCCCTTCAGCTTGTCGATTAACAGGCAGACCGGTAAGAACTGTTTGCTGTATTCCCTTTATGTTTTTGACCTTATAATTTTTGGGCACATTCTATATGAACAAATGTGTGTGTGCATGTAACAGAATAAAAGAAAATTAAGAAAATTACATACTGTATATCTACCGAAATTACGAGCTCAGCCTCATCCGCTGAGTGCTACAGGGTGTGAGAGTCCGGGGCGACTCAGCTACACAATTATGTGCCATCTCCAGATATTATTCCTCGTTATCGCTTGTTTAAAATATAATTTCGTTTCTGTTAGCTCACCGATCAAATCACTTAGCAACATGTTTTTTAGGAAAGCATCCGTTTTAACGTTAAACGGCGCATCCCTGCATAGGCAAGTGGTAATAAATTATATGAAGTGAAGAATGAAATGCAATTACCACCCAACAAACCAGACTAATTGGGAGATGAGGGTTCACATTTAGCATATTTTCTGGACACACACTCAGCATATTTCCTTAGCCAACTGATCTATGAATAAAACAGGGCATATAGAAATGCGTTGATACTCTAGTAATGTCACGAAGCTTTGAAACTACAACCACTAATTCTGAGCAACCTGTACTCACATGTACTAAGTTAATTACTAAAATTATTATGTATGGTGCAAAATAAAGGATGTTTATACTCAAACTAATCGCTATCTTACAAGAATTCCAGCAATGCAAGTTATCTTCTCATTTGTCAAGTCTGTGACATTTTATAAGCCAAAAATTAAACCCTCTGCCTTTCATAATCCTTGAGCAAGCATTAATCTCTCCTCTGGCTGTCAGCACCCCAATCGGCAGTGAGGGCAGACAGTCAACGATTAATGGGATGAATTGTTTTAGGCTTAAAGTTTTCTTTTATAAAATGTCACAGACTTGTCTAAGAAAATCTAACTTGCATTGCCGGAATTTTAATAGATAGCGATTAATTTGATATAAACATCTATTATTTTGCAAAAAGAATAAATTTTAGTCCTTTAGCATAGTATATTTAGTACAAAATAGTCAGATAATATGCTGCTCAAATTTATGGCTTTATCACAGAAACTGGTCAGGATATTATGGTAACTAATGTTACAGAGTATTTCAAACAAATTCTTCTACCAGCACCCTTCACTTACAGTAAAATACTTATTTTTACCTTCAAATTGAGCTTGTCATTTAAGGATATGATCTTGAAACGTCTCATAGGATCATTATGGTATCAAATTCATCTCTAACACAAATACAGTAAAGATTATACTTGTGAACTAAGAGGAAGAGGAGAAGAGGGGTCCATTGGGGAAAAAAGGTGACCGTGTCCCCCCTCCCCCAAAGGGTCACCTCTCTCTACTGTACTGGCTCATTCATGATGCAATATTGTATTGTTTTTCATTAATTAGTAAAGATATGTTACTGTAGTAATCCCGTAATTTTTTTTTAGGGGTTCGGGATTGACGGTTATCGGTTTTACTGTATATTCTTTAAATAATGCTTATGAATGCACCTTATTCAATAGTAAATGAATAATATGGTCACACAAGGAGATAAGCCATTGTTTTCATTTGTGTTTACAGCTGGGAGTCTGGGACAATAGTTCTACACAAGAAAATTAAGAAAATAAGACCCTGGTTGTAGCTGTTGTAAAATTAATATACAGTATAGTGGGGTATGCTATAACGAATCTAATTGGTTCTAGAACATTGTTTGTTATAGCATTCATTAGATATAGGATTAATCCGTTCCAGGCCCCCAAATACAACCACTTAACACTGAAAAATATAATATAAAATTGTAAAACGTGCATAAATATGCATTTAAACCCTGAAATAAAGAATATCATTAATACTTGCAATAAAAACAATAAATTAGTTAAAAAAAAAAATTAAATAATGTTAGTTGTAGGAGTTTAGTTAGTTATAGCATTCTCAATTTTATAGGTAAAACGATTCGTTATAGGAATATTAAGTAGTAGGATCCGTTAGTTATAGCATATCCTACTGTATATGTTTTAAGTAACGTTATTTAATGTTAATAAATGGAACAATAGAAGTAGCTAACCACTAATGGCAAAAAAAAAAAAAAGATGGATTGGAACACCAACGTATATCGCATTTAAGGATACCGCGTCATTTATCTTTTTAGAATATGTACAAAAGATTCACTATTGTTTATTACTGAATATGTATTTTGATTGAATTAATCTTTATATATGCAAAATGAACAATACAATTCTAATTATATATTATAATATTAAAACACACAAGAGGATAAGAAGCGGCATTGTTGTCAGTGTTTATGTCAGTTATCCACCTAAAACTGAAAATAAGACCCTGGTTGTTGTTGTAGTAAAACTAATGTAAAAAAATGTTTTAATTAATGTTATTTAATGTACAGTACAGTAGAAGTAACCACATATTAAAAGCGTGAGAGACCAGTAGTTGGACGCTGATATCGTGCATAAGGAAACATAGTCATATATCTTAGGAATATGTACAAAAGATTCATTATTGTTTATTACTGAATATGTATTTGATTGAATTAATGTTTATATGTGAAATGAACAATGCAATTCATTAATAATCGTAGAATATTAAAACACGAGAAGACAAGACGACGTTGTTTTGGTGACGAATGGTTCTACTAGAAACTGAAGAAAAATAAGACCCTGGTTGTAGTTGTAGTGAACTTAATTTAAAAAAAAAATAATAGCTGTATGTATGTTTTAAGTTATGTTTATTTAATGTTAATAAATGGAACACTAGAAGTAGCAAACACTAATGGTAAAGAAATAGCGAGCGATTGGAGAACGCCAACAAGCATATCGTCATTTCTCCTCATATGAATAAACCTTATATTTACTGTTCATATATGTGCAAATTTTAGAGAAAAATGACATTTATACCCAAAAATGCAAAATTGGTATAAATCAATGTCTGGTATATGGCAAATAAATTTAATCAATTTGGTTACTAAACAGCAAATTTAGATATGTGTTATATTCAGATAATATCAAACAAAATAGTACAAAAAAAAGCTATATTGCATTCAGGAAATACTCCTATACCTCAATACATAATATATGTCCGCATGTCGCTCTCATTTGAAGTTTTTTCAAGGCAGTGGGATATCGTATGCATTTAATTAATATAATATTTTGGCGGGTTTACCCGCATGCCATCAAGGGTTAAATAATATTTACAGATAAAACAAAATTCTATTCACCAATGGTGGTAAGTCTAAAACATAAGAACAGCCAATGAATACTGTGCAGGTTTTTACTCAGATGACGAAGTCATCAGGTTCAACTCTGGCTGAGGCTGTAGCTTTCCATAAAGCTGTTGCTGAAATTGTTACTGAACCTGAAGTTTATGTTGAAGCTGTTTATGATGCTGAATTTGATGGTTTAGGCCTTCAAGTAATAAAGCTCTCGAAAGAGACTTGCACAGCTGCTTTCTTTTCTCATTATACATCTTTATGTGGAGGTCATTTCGTTTACAGTGACCCTCGTTCTCGAACTCAATCCGTTCCAGAAGGTCGTTAGATTACTGAAAATTGTTTCAATGGTTTTGGGTAATTGGTTCCAGATCCTAAATATCCTAAAATCAACAAAAATGGTGAAAAGTTCACTTACTTTGAGGTGTGTATGTAGAGCTCCTGGATGATGATGATGATGGGATTTAGAATGGGGGTGGAGGAGAAGGAAGAAGAAGAAGGCATTGGGGTGGAAGAGAAGTCCATGTAGCCATTTCACCCATAAAATTTAGCTCTCTGGTGTAATTCAAGATTATTTTCTTTAAATCAACACTGCACTGCATTATATATTGTCAATATGTAAAATATATTTCAAAATGACCAATAATTTGCGGAAACAGAAAAAAAGCATTTAGTTGAAGAGAGTCTCAAGCAAGATGTTACATCCAGTGAAAACAGAGAGAGACTAACTCCTGTTTGCTGTGTTAAGAGGCTGGATGCCACGCATTAAAACTAGTCACTTTACCTTCAATTATGTTCAATAATTGTTAAAATGACTAAAAATTGAATATTAAACTTTTAAAATTATTGAATAGTATAAACTTTGATATTTACTAAAATAGTAAGGAATTTAAGCCCTAGAACCGATTAATGTATTGGGACTGATACTAAAGCTGGTTGCCCGTCAGTGCAAGTTGAAAATGTTGAGGTCGGTCTGTAAGAACTTCGTAACCGAATTGAAGATCCTTATGGAAGGCAGTTCGTTAATCGAAAATTACATTAACCGAGGTGTTCGTTAAACTAGGGTCACTGTATTTAAATTTTAATGCTTTGTTCTGTTAATGGATCCACTTCGAAAATATGTTCATTTCTTGCTCCATTAAATCCACAGACCTTCTACCCTTTTCATGTCGTTTTAACACATCTAGTTTCTCGCAAAGCTTATACACTTTCTATTAGTTGAAACGACACTACCACCACTTGCCTCTTGCTCATGTTGCAGAGGATGCAAAAAGCTGCAAGAACCCGAGAAAGTTTTTCCTGTTCCAGATGCGTGAAAACAAAAGGCCCGCCAAGCCCACTGTTTACCACTCATTAGCAAGGCAGCTTCTTTGGCGAAGGCGCTTCTTAATTTTTTATAATACAGTCATCGCGCCGTTAACGCCCAGATACGCTTCGAAACGACGTTAACTGAAATGGACGCTGTCCTCATCACATAAACTTTTATTTATACTACGGTATGTGGAATACTATACAGTATGCACGAATGTTAAGTCACGAGAGGGCCGAATTAACCAAAGTCTCGGGAAAAATAAAATCATATATTGTGAAGCCTGTCCTGGATTGAGGATGTCAAAATGTTGGTTTATTGTCAAGTGCTGACATTTGGCAACTGAGAACACGTCACGGCTTGTAGTCAGTAGCCTGGCAGCTGTGAGGGAATATTTATTGTGGTTCCCTGCCATGGGCCATGTTTTGTCTAGTTTAAGTGCATAACTCCAACATAGTGGCCATCAGAGATGTCCAGGAGGGTTACTACAAGAGACGATATTGCAGTAGTGATTGCATTGTACAAAGTGAACCATGTACTGAGAGAAATATTGGCTCAGACTGGTGTGGCATTACGAGTTGTTCAAAATCTTGTCAAACGTTTCCGGACCTTGGAGAGGACGAGTTACCAGCTCCATTACCTAAGTCTGGTAGGCCTAAATTATTGTCTCCACGGACACTTATTATTTCTCACCAAGTTCGTCCAATCCTCACTCACAGCACGTGAAGTGAAAGAGAGAAACCCGTCTTGAATTACGTTTAGACGTTGTGTTCAATAAGCCCTGAACGATGACCTGGGATTTAAGAGCTGGGTTCCCGTAAAACCTCTGTTGACAAAGAGACAGAAGGAAAATAGAGTAAATTTTGCAAGAAATATAAGGTGTGGGATTTAGAGACATGGAGGAGTGTATTATGGTCGGATGAGGCTACGTTTGTGACTGGGAGTAATGGAGGAGGGTGTACCTCCCACAGTACACTGTAAAGATGATAAGCACCCTGCCTCACTTATGGTTTGGGCTTCCTTTACATATTATGGTGTTGGTGAACTAGTAATCCCTAAGAACCAGATAATGAATCAGTACAACTATCTTGAACTGCTCAGTGATTTTTACCTGAATCATTTGATAAGCTAAGGCAAGATTTTCATGCAGGATGCCCCATGTCACACTGCTGAAAGTGTCATACAGTGGCTCAAAGACTGTGAGGTACTTTCTTTAATGACTGGCCTGGCAGTAGCCCAGATCTTAACCCAATAGAAAATTTGTGGTCCATTGTTGCTGTCGCTCGCGCGACGCGACACATCATCAATCCTGAGCTAGAGGCAGCCATCAAGGATACCTGGGCTAACTTCACCTGACCTCTTGCAAAACCTTGCTGAGTGTTCCTCGAAGGCTAAAAGACTGTCTGAAGGCAGAGGAAACACTTCCAAAGTATTATTGAAGTGGTAAGTGTTACGACTTTATTTATATAACATAATCGTAAATATCAATATTTTTCAGCACACGATCTAACATTCCGCGCAGACTGTATGTGTACATATACACTTTACTTTAAATCACTACTGTAATGTGATACAAGTGATTAATTTTATCTCTCGTGCAAAATACATGACGTTTATATTAAAATTATTCACTGTTTTACAGCGATTCCAGCAACGCCGACGTAATTAAGTAAGTCGGGGTCTAACTGTATTCACTGTTTTACAAGGATTCCAGCAACGCCGGACAGATGGGGGAGAGAGGGGGGGAGCGAGCGAGGGGGCGTGGGGGGAGGGGAAGTAGTACGTTTGACAGTTGGTCCAGGTCTAACGCGTGTATATTTATCAGTTCTTAAGTGACTAAGCTTCTCTCTTATATAAAAGCCAGTGAAATGACCTGGGTGAATATAATTAACTTTGCTGGGACTCTTGTAACAAACTGATTAATTTGAATATAAACATGATATAATTTGCACTAGACAAAACAATTTTAGTACCGTAATCAAATTAGTACATGTGCACTCCAGCTTTGCACTAAGGTTATTTATTTCTATTTCATTTCTTTTAGTATCGGTTGTGTGCATGTAAATGGATGAAAATAAATGAAGAAATCTATGTAAATCTACTCAAAAATACAGTTGAAAAACTTTTTTATAAAATGTACTACAGTACTGTACACTAATGTGCAACAATTTTTATCTCTTGAGCAAAATATATGACGTTTATATTCAAATTATTGGCTGTCTTGCAAGGATTCCAGCAATGCAAATTATGATCTCCTAACTTTAGTCTGAGATATTATATAAGATAAAAACTGTAAGCCTAAAGCCCTGGTTGGGGGTGGGAGGGGGGGGACGGACGGACGGACGGAGCCAGCCACCCAGCGCGGGGTTGGGGTGGGGGGGTTGGGGGGTTGAGGTGATACGTTTGAGCTGAAGGTGTCTGTGTGTTTATTTAACAGTCCTACTAAGCTTCTCTCATTTTAAAATGCCAGTGATATGACCTAGGAGAATATAATTAACATTGCTGGGATTCTTGTAAGATACTGATTTGTTTGAATATAAACATGTTGTAATTCGCACTAGACATAACAATTTTAGTACCGTAATCAAATTAGTATGTATATATATATATATATATATATATATATATATATATATATATATATATATATATATATATATATATATATATATATATATATATATATATATATATATATATATATATACTGTATATATATATATATGTGCAAGTAAATCACTGTAGGTGCGCGTGATCTAGGTATATGCTGATAACCACAAGGAAAGAAGAAAACACGAAGTTCCCAAGCGCTTTCGTGTAATTCACATCTTCAGGGGTGAGTACAGACTAGAGAGAGAAATACAAATCAAGGTGTATATATACAGAGAAGGGTGAGACCAGGTCCACAATGGTCAGGTATTAGGTAATGACCCTACTAATCTTTAAATAGCACACAACGGTTGGTGGTCAGGTCAGATGGTCAGGTGACCCGGCCTTCTCACCTGGTCACAAATCTTCTTAATTACAAAATTGTCCAGCTTGTACATGCCGTTACTCAAATTCATGTTGAATGCTTCGTTATGTTTTATAAGACTAGATTCTATGATGTTCCTACTATCAATTGAATTACATGGTAATATTGAGGAGGCATTATCCCAGTCAATGCAATGCTTGTTATCCCTCAAATGAACAAACAGAGCATTGGATTCCTGGCCTGTCCTAACACTGTATTTGTGTTGTTTAATTCTAGTTGCAAGATCTTTACCTGTCTGGCCTAAGTAAAACATATTACATTCCTTGCATCTCTTCTAGTAACTTACGTTACTAGAAGAGATGGGTCGGCACACGTGGATGGCGGCTGGTTCCGAGGCAGAGGGCAGATTAGTTGCCCTCCGGTGAATCACTTTCACTACTCGCAGAGGTTTGCAGGGCCTCCCTGACAAACCTCTCAAAGTCTATATCCTCACTGTCACTATCACTGACTTGTGCTGGCTGTGGTTGTGGTGGGTTGCGGGCGAAGAAGTCCTTAATATTACGTTGATGACTAGCATTGATGTTGTCGTAATAGATGTAGACATACGGTCCCATAACTTTCGAAAGATGGTTATTAGACACTTCATACCAATGCTTGACTGGTTCTTTGTCAAGGATGAGCTTAATTTTCTCACCCCAACTCGATGATTTCCTTCACATAATCATGGCTTGGTCCAGGTAATTCAAGGTTTTTCTGGGGTGGTGGGGGGTCCAGCGGAAGCCTTTGTGAGGGGAATAGCGGGCACGAGAGAACTGTATACGCGGACTGAGAACAATGAGACTGGCCTGGCTAGGTCAGCAACTTCTGGTGGCAGGGCATGTCATGTTACATTAGATCAATCACAGTTAGCGGCGGAGGGAATGCATGGCCCAATCACAGTCCGATACGTCATATGACGTCAGCGATAATGTAAGAGCGACCTAATGCGCACCCCTCACCGCGCCGCTTCCCGCATATGGTCGAGAATGGACCGAGTGAGTAAAAAATGGCGCGGCGCGTCTGGACATCTCCAGCCTCTTGCCGCGTAAATGATGAAATTTACCGCGTTATTAAAACATTTCATTCTGGCAAGGCACCACGTAAATGACCAAACGCGTAAACAAAAACCGCGTAAATCCAGACTATACTGTATATATATATATTAGTTCTTGATTTGATAAGTGGCAGGGCTGAAGTAAACACCGTGTTGGTTTGGCTTTATTGTAGAAAAATATAGTTTCACAGGTACTGAGTTCAGTTGAGAGAATATTGTACCTTCTCTGCTCAGGGAAATGTCTTAGTATACTTGTATGGGAGAGCACTTGCATGAGATGTTCACTGGGTAACAGGTGATATGATAGTCTCTCTCACACCAGGGAGAGGGTGGTCAGGCAGGTCTTAAAAATGAAACGCGTCAGATGTTTGTTGCTGAGCTGCGCTGACCAAGCTTGACCTCACCCACTCCCCAGAGGAAATGTCAACTGACCAATTGATTCATACTCATGGATGAATGTATGGTGAATATACATTTGGGTAAATATTTATATAATACAAATTGTGCTGTTACACTGATGTGGGTGCTGCCGAATCTTTTAATGAGGAGCTAGATCATGTCATTGTGGATGGAAATTATTTGCCTGAGAAAATATTTAATATGGATGAAACTGGCTTATTCTGGAAGCGCATGCCATAACGCACATGCATCCACAAAGTGGAGAAAACCATGCCGGGATTCAAGGCATTCAAGGACTGAATCACACTTCTGTTGGGTGTAGCTGGTTTTCAAGGTAAACCCCTTTATGATATTCTGTAACCGTCAATCAAGCAGTTAAAGGAATATTCAGACTCGTGACATTGAACTCGAACATTATAATTCGGTCAAACCTGTTGGATACAATTCCTTTTAATATTTCACATAAATCATACATAGGC